TCTGCAGCAAACAACAGTACAGCAGTTTGACCCCTGAAACAGTGCATCTGTGTGCGGGAGTGAAAGTAAAAATTTACCAATTCCTTAATAACGCCTGTATTAATGAGTGATCAAGTGTATCAACAAATGAACAGGCGTTTTCATCAATATCAGGATCAAAATTGTAAGTCATGACATTGGTCTGCTAAGAAGTCACACCTGAACAATCATGCGTGTTCGACAAGGCTAACTGTTCGGTGGCGAACGATTTTTTACCGGTCTGATATTATACGATACAGATACAGAGAGTGTGTATAATTCTGGTGCCAGACTGATTCAAACATATTATTACAACACTTACCTCCACAGAAGCTTCAGACCAAGCTTCTTTTTCTTTTAACGACGGAATTTTTGCGGCTTTACGGCCTAGTCAGAAGGAAAAACTTGACATAAGGGCCATGGGTGTTCTCTGGTTTACTTCACACGCTGGGTACGGCCACCATATGATTAGAAAGGACTGAGGATTGCCAGGTTCATGGCAACTTTATCAATAAAATAATTTGACATTGCCAAATAAGCAAAATCAAAAATAAACTGTAGGTATCAATCTACTTGCAAGTTTACTCTCTTTTATGACCATTGACTGCTTTCATTATTCATGGTTTTTTATGTCTGAGGCAACAACTGTGCATTACAATTAGTGTGAAATGTATTACATTAGTGACGATAGGTTTACATATAGTGTGTTAAGTGTTTGAGTAAAAAACAACATGATAGTATGTAGTTTGTGCCATTAGTTCTAATATTTTGCAAAAAGAAAAGAAAAAAAGAAACACATTAGCTTCATCAAATATTCCTGTACAAAACCAATTTTTAGTTTGAGAAAGATTTTTAATAGATGATCCAAACACATGAAAAGTATTGTATTGAAGGTCAATACTATCTTAATTTGGCCTCCAAATCCAAATCAATTTGGCAAATAAAGTTTGCAGACCCTGTGCCAGGTTGCACGCCTCCGAGATGTTCTCATTCATTATTCATGTTCTTTCATTTAATTCTTTTTTTTTTTAATATAAAAAGTTGGGGCAGGGAGTTTCAATGCCCCAATGAGCCTCTTGACTATTTTTTTCTGCATTTTTCATTACAAAATAAAAAATACGTAGAAAAGCAAAAGTACACGCACATCCAAGCATGCATGCACTCATATTATAATGCAAATGCTGTGGCG